CGTCGCAACGCGTTCCAAATCAGATAGTGGTCCACATGATCGGAAAAGCCCTAAGACTACGAGATAGAGTAGTTAGCTTGTAAAATATGATGGTCCGAACCTGTCTCCCGTTGCCCAGTGTTACAAACTACTGACTGGCCGTGTAAGCCGCTGGTCGTCATGGGTTCGAATCCTGATGGATCTGAAGGATGCGCACTCATGATGATTTCCATCAGGCTGAAAGTTCAGTCTAAGGCTTTCTTGGATATGCAGACGACTCCCTGATTTGGAACCCGCTGCGACAAACCCACAATTAATTGTATCGACTTTCTTAGCTCTTCATAACGCAGTGAACTTTTTACGTGTGCCATAGTACGCAGTTGATAAAATACTGACTTTTTCCGGAATTAACTCGTATGTTGGTTTGGTTTTACTGTTTTAACTGACAATTCAAGTTAGTTGGTCATTACTATAAGCATTTCACCCACACGCGTTAGTATTATTAGCGTTCCTACTTCGCAAATTTTGCTACGTAATAGCCTGCATTTCTGTTACAACAATCCGTTCACTAGTTTTTCTTAGGACCACGCGCAGTACCATAAATACTGAACTACAGAAAAACGAGTAAGCAGCCTTTAGCTTTTAACTAGGTGAAGATGATCACCCTATATATCCAGCTAAGGCGCTGCCAACCCTATAGGTTTGCATCCTCTCAACAGTCTTCGTTGGTTGGTTGTGGATTTGACATTAAATTGCATAAACTGCTTTCGATTTTTGAAGAAATATTCCAACTAATATTATTCCTGCCCCATCTTTTCTCTCTCCACAGTCACGTGTTTAAAAGCTGGTGCAAAGCATTCACAATCAGTACAGAAAGAGTTGATGGTAGTTTTTCGCAGTCTGACAACAAACCATGTCTCACCAATCAATCACTTTCAAAATCAGGTAAGGCCGGTAGTTGAAAACCATTATTTGTAACAATGGTGGTGCCTGCATAGACTATTTGGAATTTTATTCTCACATCAACTTCACACTGCACTGTCTTTCAGGATTTTTGCAGATATGGCACTTAACTTAATTGCATGTTTAATGAGACGTTGTTTCCTGGAAATTGAGGCGTTTGTAATTTAACTTTTAACTAATTTCATTATATTACACCAACTAATAACTATAAACATTCGTCGTTAAATAAGGAATTTTCTAGGTTTTTGTTTCATTGCCCAGCTATTAAAGCTGAACTTTAATCCCATATTTAAAGAGCTAACTTCTTATTGTTAAGATTATGTGAAATTATGTTGGAATTCATGAATCACATTGCTGTGCATTTCGTAGAGGCTTTTGCAACCTTTCTCCATACCTGAGTGATGCACAAACCGCAATAATGCTGACATAAGTTCCAGAAGTCACGTACGACGTGACAACAAAGGTCACATACTTATGGTTCAAATTTCATGGTTAGCGAGAGTGGACGTTTGCAAATTTACTTTTTATGAACCATATTTCGAAGGGTTTAACACCCATGCCGCTGGAAGTTTTCTGTCTTGCTTTTACGTCAACGTGAGGATGATGTTCTACTGGACATTTGCGAAAAATACATCAACGATACTAGCCCACAGTGACTTCTGGCAAGCATAGATTGTGTAAATGTACTGACGAAATTGAGTTCATTTTGCCTGTAGAAACCGATGAGCTGATCAGCGACGTCAAGTTCAGAGTGAAATTTCCGAATTAACCTGAGCTGTGTCTGCACAACCTTTTATCCTCGTAGCCGGATGAACCTACCGTTGAAGTGTTGGATTTTAATGCAACTATTTTTGTTTGTTCAAGACAGCCGTCTCAAATTTGAAATCCTGTTTGCACATTTTTAAGCACAGGCGGATTGATACCTATTATTCTGAAATAAACTAGGGCGTGTAAATGAATACATTGCTGGAGAAAGGAAAACGTTGTTCCGTAAATCCACTGGATTGTACTATTAATTGGCAACATAATAATGGCTGGAAAATTCCACTTCGTTTTTCACAGCCTAGTGCGGTAACCTTCGGCGGTAAGTTTAGAACCGTAGTGAACTTACACCTTGTTTGCTCAGGAGCAGCACAGAGTTTTACTTTTAAAGCAGACACCTCAGAACGCCGCATGTCAAGCGCTTGGTTTGATGCTTTGGTTTATCTAATGGATACTTGCACGCAAAGCATTGACACGAAATTTTACATATCTTGAATGCACTGCTTCTACCTTGGTGCAAAATGTAATACTTGCTGATTTTTGGGTATTTTCACTACATAGGCATGTTATTGAAATGCCAAAGTATTCTTCATCGGATATTGAATGTTACGTGCTTCCCACATGCAGCTGTGACCAAACATAACCGTTTGATTTCTATTAGGTCATAAAATTTTCGGTCGAAGGGGTTATATAGTTTTATATAAGTATTGCAAAATTTCATCCACGGAATGCAGAATAGTTAGGATGTTTCAGGAGACATTTATTGGGTACTGACTGTACCCAACATCGTTTTGTAGACCTTAAAAATAATCGAGATCATAAGAGCGATACAATTGGAAAGTTATGCACACGATGGTACTGGTTGATTTTGTTGAATGTGACTTGCAATTTTGTTTAACTATCTATTTAAGCGAAAATATAGGTTAATGATTGTCTTTGATAAAAGGGAAAGTAGAAAACTGACGGAATTTTTGTAGAGATGAAATGGCAGAGAGTAGGAAACCATATCTTTAATATCAACTCCAAATTCTTCTCTCATTTTCCCTGACGTGATTGAAAACGGTAACCCTTGTTGGCCGAAATGAAACAATCAAACATACAGCTTCCAAGTTCTGGATGTAGATCAAAATATATTTACAATCACAGCTAAAATAGATGTTCAGAAATTTCGAATGAATAAAAATACGCGAAGTATTGTTAAATATGACTAAACAGATTCTGCTGGTTACAAGTACTGGAAGAATAGTATATTAAATGTTGCAAACTAGTGTCTACAAGAGTTTAAGTAAAATAGTTCCACTTATTCGGCCTGGTTTACGCTGGCTTTCGCCTATCGAGTCAGCCCTAGAGAACACTTCATTTTTGGGCGTTTTACCAAGACATGAGTGCTTCCAAATACTACCCATTCGGTTGCAACTTTTGGCAAAAGAATGTCTCTGTAGCGCTTTGCATTTGAGGTGGTGGTTTCCATGCCAAAAGTAATCAGATCAGACATTCTCTGCCTGTCCTGACGTTTATCATACAAACAGAAATTGTATACCAACTAACCGTTTGGCAAGAGCCAGAATTGACATTAAACATTTTGATGGGCATAGTCAGAAATACGAAACGAAGTGATGAACTTTACCCAATGGTTTACAGCAAAGTAGCGTATGATAAGAAACCGTTAATTTTAACAAAGTTTTTCTTTACCTACTTTTACTTAAGTTGATAAAATAAAGACTAGTATTCTGACTACGGAAGTAAAAGGGGACAAAGGGCATACCGAAATTTTCATCGATTTGTATTAGCACAACGGCTAGACTGAATGGTTAATAAAAGTTTGAATATTCTAAGAAGTTAAGCTATCATTTGCCAACGGATGCAACAAGTTTGTCTTGATTTCGCTCTGGGGAATTTTCCACATGATTGATTTAATGTTTCTCAGGAGATCTACAACCAAATAGTGTTTAACTGACATACAGAATATTAGACGTCCCCTTTTTTAATTTGAGTGATTAAAGGATTTGTTGGTTCACCAACAACAAGGGCAGCTATTTTAGTTTCGCATTGACAAGTCCGCGTCATGTTCCTCTAAGCATTTTAAGTGTATGCCTCTGACAAACCGTGCTGATAATTTTGGATGACGTCTAGAATGTCCGCGTCTTCGTTCCTGTTACTTATGAGCTGCAATTAAAGCGATACTTTTGAAGAAATCAAGGTTCTCTATCAAAGCTTTGATTCGCAACATTATGAAGCAGACTTCAGAAGTTCCAGGGCGACTGCCGTACTCTTTTCCAGTAATGCTATCAGTGATGCGGCATGCGACATGTTCACGATATACCGGCTCGTTATAATTAGTACTCATGCGTTCAATCAAGGGAATTTACAATCGATATTACTTTTACAACCACTTCAAAGTCGTTGCCCCTAATTAACATTCTGCTTCCGCCCGTCCATCTCAGATATCAGCAGCTACCGATTTTACAGATAATGCTTAAGATTTGTTCTTACTCTGATGCACCTAGACCTGCTTATACTCTGAGTCGGTTCAGTTAATTCTATTTTCATTGTAAGACCAAGGCTAAACCGTGAGGAAACAATGTAATACGCACAGTTGCAGTGTGTTTTTGCATGTTTATGACTGTCGGAAAATGTGGCCATAAATAACCATCTTCACCCGTATATATTCCTTGTATATTCCTCGGTGTCGGTTGTGAATATCGAGTAGAACAACATAAGTTTGATGGGAACAAATTAAAAACGGTTTATTGATGATCGGTTGCCTAACAAGCATTGGAAGCGCGGAAGGTTTTTGTGTGTTTTGAAATTCTACAATAAATGCTTTCGAATATAATGACTACGACCACTGACGTTTCATCGAACTTAAAGCGGGATAAGCTGATGTTGTTTTTTCTAGTTGCACGCCATGGTTAGTGCAACAATTTATGCAGCCAGGACAGTCAGTGGGAATCTTTACTGATTCTCTTCCTCTGCTCAAACATAATGTTCATCCGGTTTCAGCCGAACTCGCCCCTGATCGGTTGAAGTATATATGATACACCTTCGCCTTCCTGTTCACAGAGTTAAATTTTACGGTACTAAACGGCACTAAGAGGTGATCTAGGTATCGTACGCGGAGATCTAACACCGTCCCACGTTAAACTCAATATAAACGACTAATTCCACCCTTAAAATCTATATAATTTACTTGATGAACGACCAGTCCCATATTTTCTCCATCCTTCACCGAATCCGTCTGGCACGTCATCATATTCCTATAAGGTGAAACAATACGAAAGTACTCGTAGAAAATCCGCTGAAAGCGAGCTTTGAAGATTTTTACCGGGTTTATTTTACTGGCTAAAATATGCTCCCTGTAAGGCAGTCAAAACAGCGTAGAATATGGAAAGTTGGCCTTTGGAATACCGCAACGGGAAGCATCAACACGAAAACCCTTCACTTCGGATACCGTCCAAGCAGCCATGAATATATTTAAACCAATGTGTCACTGGTTTGACCTAACTGCTCCCACTCTGCCTCCAACATCATGGTATCGGTCGAGAATTATGTGTTTGGATAGTGTCATGCGTTATAAATAATGACATTCAAAACTTTCCCTGTATTTGTATTCCGATAAATTTCAGTAGCCTTAACCTCTCATCTAGGCAAGGCTAATTATAAGTTCGGAATCTTCCTATTGATTTATGGTGCGTCCCCATTGTAACAAGGGTTGCAAGGGATTTGGAAACTCATATAACAACCCAGTGGGTAAGGTCGATAATCACAAAGATTGACCAAACTCTGTCAAACGCGGTTTCAACCTGAGTGCCTATTGGTCCGAATACTTCCAGTTCGCGCTGTTTATCGTATGCATTTAAGCTGTTCCTATCAGTGAATCGGATCCCACGATTGTGACTATCCGTACTCGTAGGAGCAAACACATCATAATAATGATTGAGCCAAATGGTGCCAAATTGTGTATTTCAAATATTCTCTTAATAGCAGCATGATCCTTCTGCTAACGCGGATGTGTTAGAGTGAATTACAGAGATTTGAAGTTAAACTTTCTAATTCAGCTTCTCTTCCTTCGCTTTATAGATTCAGACAAAAACGACGCAACGATGCAACGAAGTGTGACTGTCCACAACATTCAAAAGCACGATGCTTCATCACCATCGCATAAAACAAATTCGGTCGCCACTATCAAAGTAAAACAATGAACGTGAACAGTACACAATTTTCGCAGTAGCACGAATATTTCCTATCTTTAAAGCTACCTTGACGAATCGCTTTTTTCAACGCTTTTCTGTCAAGCGTCAAAAATGCAAAAGCGCCTTACTTTGGTGGTTACACCAGGTGTAAAATATGTCAACGTCTTCCCTCATATATAAAGACAATAATATAAATTATGCCATTATCTTCACCGTGCCACCTGGATAAACCATACGTGTGTTGAGAGACAAGAAGTTTACTCTCTTCGTTTTCAACACTTATCCACATCTCTATGTCCCAAATATTTTACTGGAACAATTTGTTCAGTAGAGTCGACGGCGTTACAGAAAACTGCAAACTGTTATTTGTCTACGAAAGTAGACAGAGATTGAATAGCTGCACAGATTCACAAAGCAAAAGTTGATATTTCACCGTTTTGCAAACACATACACATACCTCCCTTAGCATGTGGGAGTTGTTACTATTTGTCAACACGCAACATGTCGGAGAACTCATGTGTACATTGTAATTTAGTAAATTTTCTTCATACATTTTTAGATATAAATGCCATTAAGGCAGTACGTCACAGTTGACAAATAACACATCTGGAGCTGTAGCGGGAAGTTTTGCCATTACCTACACATGAGTCGACGTCCATGGTCAAATATTCCACGGTTACAGCTTGTAAAAATGTTAGGAGCCGATTTTTATTTCTAGGTTGAAATTTTCACTTGTTTTACGGTTTCAGATGACGTGTATTAAACAACAACATACGACATACCGCTTCCGGAGGCTCCTTTTGAAAAGAAAGTTCATTTAAACGAACGAATTATATACGAGTAAAGTACCTTATAACAAAGAAGGAAAAGATGGCCGGGATAATAATTTAAAAAATCAAAATAAACAGGTCAGTAAAGATTAGCGCATTGCTAAACACAGTATGGCGTCCATTTGAAAAGATAACACCCAGAATTGCAATATTGGTGTACGGTACATCCAGTTGCTAAGATTCTCAATACGGGCATTGTAGTCACTCACAATATTGGGAGAAAACAGGCAGAACGCAAAATTCAGAAGTATTTCAATGCGAATAAAAACGGCGATACTTAATTAGTATTTTGGTAATGTAATTCTGGGTATTGCACATGCAAAGGTATATAATTGAAAAGCTGAGGAACCTTCTAGTAAACCCACACTTTTTATTCGTACGGAAATAGCTGTAGCTCCGTCACTCCAGAGTTTACAAAGTAATGCAAATAGACACAATGTTACTTGATGTTAGTTCAATGTATGTTAAACACAAGACGTATCATGTTATCTAAATGAATTAATGCATAATATTGGTTTTACCTTGTAACATATATATATGCAATATATATATATATATTCAAAATATTTCGGCAGTATGAACAGTAACACAGCCGTTGAGACGCTGAGAGTGGAACAGATTTGATACACTGCTGAACAGCTACTTCGCTTGCTCAATTTTCCTCAAATTTCCGAGTTTGTGTTGCAGTCATTATTCAGCATCGAACGAAAATTTCGTTTCGGTTTCCAACCGTTAATAGACTTGTGCACATTACCTCCGTAGGAGCCGACACCACGCTGCTAGACCTCACTATACATGGTTAAATTAGGTGTGATGTTTTATTAAAATCCCTAGTCGCCCATACTTGAAATCTTCAGTACAGCAATTTCCGGCGCTACGTGGTTTTGATGCTATTTTTCGTAAAGATGACAGGCTTAACTCACTGGAACAGTTAACCTACAAACTAGAAATGTTAATTAACAAATTCGTTGCGTAAATATAACATTGCCATCAGCCGTGATCTCTTGCGACATCGACCTAAATTACCTCAATATTAAAAATGCGCCCACAGCAGGTATATGCAAAAGGCTCACGAATTTGGCCTAATTTAATGGGCGCAGCAGGGATTTGGGTTGTGTGGCGTGTCCTATTTTCCGACAGTAATTTGATCAAAAACTCGGAGGAAACAAAATCTTTTTCTAGCTTACTAACTACAATTGTTCTAAGTATCCGTTACAAGGAAGTATGTTCTTACTTGGTAGCATTTATCACAAAGGACATATTGCAGTACCATTTAAGTGCTAAATGGTAAAATTATTACGCGAAATGCATACATTGAAATTTAGCCAATTCGTGCAGGATATTTGTGTTTAAAAGAGAAAAAACTAGCCAGTGTGCAGAGCCTTATAGAGCGCTAATTTGCAAGTTTGCCAAATCAAACCCTGTCATGCAGGGGAAGTTATCAATCCAAACATAAAGAAAGAATGATTTCGACGACCTAAAGTGTTTAAAATGCGGGGCCTTCTAGACGATAAAAGTAAGTGTCTATAGCGGACATCAACTCCTACAGCAGCATTGATAACTTCTACCCAGCTTCCACTATCCGCTAGTTGGTGTTGAAAACCTTCTGGAGCGATTCATTGCCTCCCTGTACCAACCGGGTGTCCCAGCTCTCTTATAGCTGTGCTTCTATTGATGGTTGCCATTATCTTAAATAGCACTGAGAGGGGCGTGAACGAATGACAGTTTACAAATCCTTAACGGACAATTCGGTTGTAAATATTTGAGACAAGCTTATGTTGCCCTACACATAAAATTGTGATGCCTTCGACGCACTGAAGGAGCTTTTACGATAGGACCTAACCAACGGGAGACATGGGCCGGTGCTAACTACTTGGGGTATGCGGCACACCCAAGGCCGTTAGAGATGTGCAACCACTGCTTTAGGTGGTATGATCCAATTGCACTTGCAAGAATGCCCGTTGTGCAGACCAAATTCTGTTCAGTTTGCTCTTGTGTGTATACTGTACGCGTAACGAAGGTATAATGTCACATACGGAAGTGAGCACCTCTGGACGCTTTATTCCTGAAAGAGATCAAGTGGAACTGGTCAACCGAGTGCCAAACAGCGGTTAATCGGAGAAAAGAAATGTTGACTCCCGATCTCCTTCTCACACATTTTGCTCCTAAACTTTCGATTGTGACAGCTGACGGTGCAAGCAACAATGGCATCCAAGCTGTGTTATCCGACCCGTCGCAACGAGACTGGAACTTAACGTGGTGCGATGATTTGCGTACCTCCTTGACCCATTAAGTTATACTGGGTGGTGCCTCCGGACAGCTTGAGAGCTACTCCTACCGGGTTGGTCAATAGTGAGAGGTCAGACAAACTCAGTCTCCTGGTCCTCCAAGTTCGAGGTTTGAAATGAGATGGTGTCCATTTCTGTAAAACTAAATACTAGCCATCTACCCGCTGCGTTGAGGACAGGATTTTGAGCCAAAGGCCTGCACTATTTAAGGATGGATGTGAGGTCCTCTACAAAGCACTGACCACCTTATTCGAATGTATCTGGAAGGAAGAGAGTGTCCCAGCTAATTTGAGCGGATCGATTATAGTGGCAAAATACAGGAAGGGCAGTCGCACAGACTGTGCGAACCACAGGGCTATTAGCCTAACGACAGTAGTGACAAAATTACTGGCCTCGATTATCGTTCGTCGCCTCACTGCGGAACGGAAATCTCGGATTAGGGAAGAGCAGGCAGGTTTCCGCCCAGGACGTGGCTGTATAGACCATATATTCACTTTGCGGCCGGTGCTAGAGCAGCGTCACGCATACCGCTGACCGACAATAGCTGTGTACCTTGAGTTCAATAGTACGTTCGATTCAGTCGATTGATCGATTCGGCTCAAAATACTTGCGCGGAATGGTGTTCCCACGAAATATGTGATCATCCTTCGTGCTCTATACTCCAACACTACAGGCCGCGTCAGGGTCTACGGTGTCCTATATGATAGCTTTCCGACTATATGTAGCTTTCGTCAGATTTGTCCGATTTCCCCATTTGTATTCAATTTCGTCGTGGATTCTATCATGGAGTGTTTCCTTGCGGAATTTTGCGATGTAGGCGTTGAAGTGCTGCTTGGTGAAAGGTTAGTTGATCTATATTTTGTGGGCGACATCGTCTTGTTTTCGACGATGTTGGGGCGGCCCAATCATCCCTGAATAGCCTGTCCAGAGTCGTCCCATTAATTGTATGCACTTCGCACCTTCAAACTGCAAAGTGTTGCTGCAGGACCACCAGCCACTTGATGACCCCTTGACGCTTGCTAATGAGGAACTCGAGTTGGTTGATTATTTCGCTTATCTTGCCAGCTGCGTCAGCAACGAGGGCCGCAAAGAAACTGACATCAGCTCATGCATTGCAAAAGCCCGAGCTACCTTCTTGAACCTGCGGCATCTTTGGCGACAGAAGGGCTTTTCACTTCGTTTGTAAGACGGTGTATACGAGGCCACAGTGAGGGTCTTTCTGCACTATAGAAGTGAGAATTGACCCCTTCGGTCTGAAGATCTGAGGCGTCTTCAAGTCTTTGGTCATCTTTTTCTGCGAAGCATTGCTGGTGTCGGATGGCACCAGTGTGTCCGCAACGATGATGCGCGTGGGCGAGTACTAGTTGGTGCTAATCATGCTAGCTCGCGAGAACAACAAATAGCATTGGATAAGTTGCGTTGGCTAGGGCACGTAATACGTATGCCTGATCATCGCTTACCTAGGAGGGCCTTGTTCAGTCCACCAGGTGTAGGGTGGCGCAAAGCTCTAGGTGGACAGAAGTTGACTTGGCAGCGGGAAATGAAGTGATTGACGACCAAACTGGGTGCCGTTGGTCCGTTTCGCCTTCTGGGCTGGAGTCCACGCGACTCGACTTGTACTTGGCTCGAGACTTTACAGAACATGGCTCGAAACCGACACCAGTGGCGAGTCTGCTGCCGTCTCCTAATCAGATTGTCTGTTTAAAGTATGTTTGGTGCTGAGTAATCTTTGTGATAATGGCTGATGATGATGTGTAGCAGTGAAAGCCGCAAGGAAGCTGTCTCGCCGATGCCGCCTTATTTTTGCACGATCTCCAGCTGTTTGTGATGGTATATTGTGTATACCAGGTGTAGGCCCCTTGACCCTGAATGTTTGCTTAGGGTATTAAGATTTTCAGGTAAGTCCCCCTTCTCTCCCTCTTCTTATTCTTTATTTCTTAGGTCATCATGGTTATTTGACAGCGAAGCATCAGTTCAAATGGCTGACGTACTGCCCTTGTTGTTGTTGTTGTTTGTTTATTGTTGCGTTATCCCACATTTTCTTAGACAGCTCTGAGAAAGCAATTATGCTCGTAGCTCAGTCACATTATCAGGGGGTTCCAGTCAACAGTAGTAAGCCAACAGAAGGACCAGATTATGCGAAGTTACCTGGAAGGAATCTACAATATTTGATAGCCATTAAATTCGAGCCACCAATACACCAAGAGGTCAGTGTATATGGAGCCTGAGTCATTTTAAATCCAATGGAAAATTTTGCACCGTATTGTAAAGACTATCGAAGAATCGGTCTGCATGCTGCTAAACTAATCATGCTGCTACTTCGACTAGTAAGTATGACAGGAATTATGGGCTTGGGAATCAGTGCAGGCTGTATCTTAAGTTGGCCGGTTTCAGTGTGTTTTATCTGACACTGCATTGATCTAACCCCATAAACTTGTTCGCCTTGGTTAACTGATGATGTGGTACGAACCCGTTATTCCGGCTTGGATATATC